TCAGTACTTAAAGGTCTAGTGCATTTAGAGTCCCAGAGCAGACTTGTGCTCCATCCTGTTCTAGAGCAACACTCAGCCAACAACATGCACCCAAAATAAATGCTGTCATACCTTTCACATAGTAGACATAGCGTATTTTCCTGGGTCCTACTAGGCAATGCAGTTTCTTGTGCAATATGATTCCTGACAGTCAGAGTGTACTCAGGAGTTAGTAGCTAAAATTCATCATCTGGCAGTTCTATTTCCAGTCCTATTGTATGCCCTCAAAACTTCCTTTTGATCACTTTCCTCTTGACATTCATCTGTTTTTCAGATTAAGGATCTGTTTCTACAACGAGCCTGCCCCAGACAGCCAGCTCTCATGGAGGGATGGTAGGTTCTGTCATACTGCTTCATGATTATTGAGGAGCATTTAGCTCTCAGGAGCCTATTGTGAAGGCAAACAAGAACAGTTCTGTGCTTTCAATTTGCTCCTCACATCCCCCCATCATACAGAACCACAGAGGTGAGGAAAGCAACACCATTATTTGGTTTCATCTGGATCCTGGTTGGGTGGGAAAGTAAGAGAAAGGGACACTTGGTGGGATCTTCCTCCGCAAGGAAGTATTTAACACACTGGTTCTGCTTCTCTGGCTCCAATGAAAGGAATGAGTTTGAAGAGGAACACAGCTTCCTGCATAGGAAAGACTACTGACAAGGGACTCTCTGGCAGGTGACTCTTCCTCACTGTGCAGTTGCTACTCCCAGTATTGATAGGAAAGGCCTGAAAATTCACCAACAACAAACACTTCAGCCTACTACCATTTTATAACCCCCACAATCTTCACCTAGTAGAATCTGTGCTTCCACAAAAGAGAAAGAATCTCTCCAGAGTTGGAGAAGAGGTAGGAAAGGAAGCTTTTTCTCTGCTTGTAGCAAAAGAAGAGAGTTTTTACCTACTGCTTCTCCTTTATTTAAAAGAGAAGTAGTATTTAGATGGAGTTGTAATACAGTAATACAATTTATTGACCAATAAATCAGGAAAAAAGTACAACTACTCCACTGCAAAGGCAAAGGATTACTTTAGAACAACACAGAATCTAGTAAAATAGTGCTATATGGATCCTGTAGTCAACTGGGCAAGATCATGAGAAATAATGACTGCTTGCCCTTCTTAACTTGGGAGAGATGGGACCCATTGCATAGATTGTAAAGGGAGGTACATTTAAGACCACAGTTCTTGTCTCAGACTACAGTACATAGCTAAAAGAAAAAGCACCAATCAGCAAATAATTTTTACAGGAAATATATGGGGAATAGGCAAAGTGTTTGGAATTAAATCCTAGAAAGAAAGTAAAATTTCTGGGATGGGCAGAATTTGTTTTGTTTGTTCGTGAACTCTGCACAAGTCTTTCACATGCAATGAGGACACCGCAGGTTAATCTACAGGCACTGACAAAATCATCTTTCCTCCATTCTTAGCTCTAAGTCAGTCAGTGGCTACATCTACACAACTTCATGTTATGTTCTACAGCAGTACTGTAAACAGTTTCTACAGTATAATTATTTTTGAATACTTTTAATATAATTGATCTCTTTTCCCATCTAAAACACTTGCCAGCAGTTTACTGTGGAGGAGAAAAGAATGGTTTAACACAAAATAGGATTTACTTTCTTGAGAGCTTTAGGTTTAGACACATACTACTTGACCCTAACAGCTCAACTTCAGTTGCTTAAAGGCAGACTCCTGTAGATACACATGGCCAAAAATGATCCAGGAGTCAAAGGGTCTCACTCTAACATACTTTGTTTTAATATCAAGTAATGCTAAGGTAAGCTAACTAACGGAGGCCATTTCTAAAGGTCTTCCATGGTGTTTATAAATTAAGTAGATGGTCCCACTCAAAAACTTTAAATAAATTAGCTTGCTGAAAGACAAAACTCACCTACCCCTCCTTTGAGCATTACTGTATCTATTTCATACCTAGAGGGTTTTTTTTCTCCTATTTTTTTTTAAATTGTAATTAGAAAGTAACAAGAAAATAATTATTTCACAACACAGCCTTTTCATAAACACGTAATTATGTTCACTTCATGAGAATTTATCTTCACTGTGAAATCAATCATCACAGTCTCCATTTACTATACATTACCAAGTCACATTTGATTCCTGTCAGAGATCTGTTGACTTGTGCAGTAAATCAAAATGACGGATACTGTTAGTTTCCTTCTGCATCTATCCCCAAGCCTCAGCTAACTCAAGATGTTTTTTCCTTCTATGCAGTGAAATAAGCATTTTCCTGGTAACTGTATTTCAGAACTGGAAAGGTTTTCATAAATGGAAAAAATGCAGGGCATAATCCAGGAAACTATTGAAATGTACAGTATCAGAAACATATGGCTGTAGCAAATACCTATGCAGTGAGGGCCTGGGTATGAAAAAGAGAACAAGCTTATTAAAATTCTTCTCCTAAAGGATTTTGCTTGAAAATTAAAATACTTTAAGAAAGTTTGCACAGTCAATGAAAAAAAAAAATGCTGCAGATTATGGAAAAAAAAGAGATACAGAATAATCTCCATGCTATCATGGAAACTGGAACAGATGATTTTTGCCTTTGTTCTTTAATGATCTACATCTTAAACAGCAAAATGGTTCCACAACCAGAACCCTCAGTGTGCAAACTTAGAAAGCTGATTTCTTTCTCCATTGCTAAGGATTTTTAATTTAAAAAAACCCACTCCCCCCCACCAACCAGAAACTAAATTAATTTACATGAATTTTGAAAAGCAAGAAAGCCACATACAGATACACACACACCCCCATTCAGAAACCAGAAGTCAATGGATTAGCGTAAAGTAAAACAACAAGACGACTCCTTATTTCAACAGATATTTACTGATTCCCTGTTTCAGTTTCCCTAAGAATGTGGGACAGGGAACAGTCCCCAGTTGTAGACCAGATCACTTTACTCAAGCCCCAGTATCCCTGCTTCTGCGGACACAATCTCTGAGTTTAGGAGACAGTGGAAAACTGATACTAAACTTGTTTTGACCAGTTTGTGCCAGCAGGCAGATTTTTAGAAATATCAAAAATCAGCTCTTTTATAGCAACAGAGGAATTGCTGTTGTAATTAGAATTCAATAAATACTTCTTCATTAACAACTTCTGCCTCCTTTTAAGCTCCAAGACTGTGTCCCTGCCTCTCCCAAGGAAAAGTTATTTTGTTGTCTTATTGCTGTGCTATCATGTCTTAACACGCTCATATAGATAGATATAAAGATGTTTTTAGAGAAGCTTACAGATGCTGGAGAGCCTACTCACAGCTCAAATGGGCAGGGTTATTACAGACATGGCAAACATTTTAGACATCTGATTTTGAAATCCTTGCTGTCCAGTATGTACAAAGATCCAGTGAAAATTCGAATGTGAATGAATATAACATCCAAATAAATCCCAAATTTGCCAATGGAAATGCACACTTCTCTTGGATTTTCACAGAAGTTCAGTGATTAATATATAAATGATGAAAATATTCAAAAGTCATTAGCCAAAACAAAGGAGAAACAACAAGCTAAAATTAACAGATTTCTCACAAAAGGAACTTAATATGTACAGCTGATACTAAGCCACCAGGACAAAGTTATCTTGACTGACTGATACACGTGCAATGTCAGGATGATTCACATATATCTACAGCAGAATAATCATAATTAAATTAATTTCCAGCATCTGAAGATCATTTATGTTTTGAAACACACTAAAAGTTTTTCAAAGCTTTCTTCTGTGCTCCAGAAATGCAAGTGGTCAAGTGTTTGAAATCCTATTCCCAGCAAGTATGTGTGTGACATACTTTCAAAGGGCATCTCCTGGTAGACAATGTCCACATGTAGGCTAGCTGAGATCTCTGCAGATGTAGGCAAAGTGTTCATGGGGTAAGTTCAGAGTGAGACTCACATTGCATCCTCATGTTTCTGGGGCTAGCAGAAGCTTGACAGCCCAGAAATCCTGTGTTTTGCTTTTGCTTTGCAGGAGGGAGGAACACTCCTTGCTTCTGAAAGAACTATTTCTGGCCAGTTCAGGAGCAACAACAGCTGGCTCTGCAGGGAGCCACATCCAGCCCTCATCATTGTGAGCAACATCTGAATGTATTGCCAAGCTTTGGCAACGTGAGGGGGGAGCGGATATAGAGGAACTTAGCAGAAGAGAAGACAACAAGGGCATCTATCCATGTTACCACTACAATTAATTTATTTTCTTGAAAAGGAACTTACAGAAGTTACACCTTATCTGCTCAAATGCAATTCCACTAAGACAGCTGCGAATGCAACAAAAAAAAAAAAAAAAAAGTAAATAAATAGAAATTTACAGATCATTCGTATGTTTGAGTGTTGTCATGTTTCCTTGACTTATTTGTGCACAGTAATCTGAACTGGCTGTGCATCAGGAGTGGGCTTCCATAGAGTACCCATACCACTTAAATCAGAGGATGGAGTCTGAAAGGAAAACTATAATGGCAAACACTACAAAGCAAAGATTCTATTAATTAGGGAAGCAGAGGAATCTCATTTTGTTCTCCATTCAGCAGTATATAAACCCAAACAAACAATAAAGTGACTCCCAAGATTACAGACAGGCAAGATTTTCCACTGGAGATGGTGAAAAGCAATTACACTTTTGTGATTTACAACAGTTGAATCTGGTCACAAGGTATAGAAGTCATGAATGTTTTGGTAAGCCTAGGTGATTGCCAAACAAAACAAAAATAGGATCAGGAGATGATTATTCAGCCATACAGAAGAACTAGATGACTAATCATGGAGCTGTTTCACTCCATGAGTGGCTAGAAGGACACTAACCTTTCATCCCATGATTATGCAACAGCAAAGAAGCAGATATATTAAGGGTATAAAGATGTTTCTTCACTCAGCAAAGTGGAAATACCAGAACTGCATTCCCAGTTATTAAAATGCTCAGCTAGATAATTTTACAGAAATATCTGCCGAATAGCACATTTTCTTACCTCTGCTCCGTGTTAAACAATGCAAAGATATGTTTGCTAGACATGAAACTCTTTTCAACATCTCGCACTTTCAAGTTGTCCAAAGGAAGCATATACTTTTTCTCCTTTTCCTAGAAAAAAACAACAGATTACAACAACACTGTGTGAGAAGTTTTGAAGAAGCTTGATCTCAGCAAGCTCCGCTTAGTTGGTAATGCCTTCAGTACATTTATTATCGTAAGGGAATATCCATAAATGAAATGTCTGCTTATGTTTCATAGACATGCCTGCCGCAGAAATGAAACCTCAATTGCAGCTCTGTTTTTCACTGACCCTCTTAAAACATTTCCTGATAAAAAAATTCCAACTCAAACACATAAGCATCTACATTTATTATTCTTCATTCCTCTAAATTCTAAAAAGAAAAGGGTCAGACTTAACTAAAATGGAAATATTTAATCAATACAGAACTCTTCTACCCTATCTGCATAGCGACTGGAGTAATCTGTGACATAAAATTAATCTCTACCTGTAATTACTGTTATTAATTATTTATCAGTGGCAAGTGATATTCCCAGGGATAAATTTTCATTCTTCTGGTAACAAATAAATAAATTTAAAAATTATACAAATCAATCAAAATCATACCATCATCAAGGTTTTATATATACCATATACAAACAAAGCCAACTGTAATCTAACCAGCTTGTTTCTCCAAACAGCAAGAATTATTTATTCACTTTCTGTACCCAACTCCTTCTGCATTTTCATCACAACTCTCATTTACAACACATCCTCATTTACAGCAATATCACTATAATTTCACCTTTTCTAGGTTTCTTGCTTCCTGTCACTCCAAATTAAGGACTAGTACCACTCTCAAAGTACCTTATAATGACAGAACAAAAAAGCCCCGAGATTATCAGATGTTCCCATTGTGTTAAACTTCCTTGAAGTCCTCCTGCTGAAGGATAAACCAGGGCAAAGCTCTCCATTTTGCTTTGCAAATACACTCGGTGCTAAGTAGAAGCAATCCAAAGACAAAAGGGGCATTCTCATACCAGTTTTGCACATCACAATAAAATTGTGATAAGGGTCCTAACACAGGACAGAGATTAACACCTTTCAAAGGATATTAAGGTACTGTTAAGGCTGGTGCCATTACCATGGCAGCAGTGGAGAGGGGAGAGGATTTATGCCCCGGAATTTGTGCAGCAGATACCAAGTGGGGTTCTCTTGAATATGGCTACTCAATGACTCTACAGAAGTTCAATAAATCACCAGAGTTGGAAAACTTAGAACTCCTTCACAGTTCCTTATCTGCCAACATGAAGCAAGGCTGAGTCGCCTCTGTCTAGACATCATCAGAACTAGCTATCAAGTCCAGCATCCATTGCAATTGCTGAAGAATTGCAAACTGGGACATCACTTAGAGTGGTTGGCTCAAATAAGAAATATGCATGTGATAATAGTTTATTGTATGCCATAAAACAGGGCAAAAGGGACAAAACAAACTAGGACTTACTTCCCAGAAGAAATATACAAAAGTAACTTCCACTGCACAGAACTAGAAGTCCTTGCTAGACAGAGATGTGGGCATCTGTACTGTGGGTACTGCGAGGGCAGATGCAATTCAACTTGGCTAAGCCTCAGAAGATTGCAAAACTAAACCAGATGAGAATGTACCTAAGAGTGAAACTATACAAATACAGCAACATGTCCAACAATGGCTCACTTTCCTAGACAGCTTCATAATAGGCCTCAGTAGAGGAAAAAGCGTATTTCAAAGGCCCTTCTGGAAAAGTCTTGTTTTGTTGAACACAAGAGTTATCAAATGCAGTGTGAGAGTATTACATAAAAAGTACTTGATGGATTTTCAAACTGACTCTAGCTGAGCCATCCTAGAAATTATTATCCACAGAAGATAATACATATGCACGTTCTTCACTATATAACAAGAATTCCGAAGAAGGAATCTAGTTCTGTGCCAGTCTATAGCTATTTATCACAGTTCATATCTATATTCTGCTTCCAGGGAACATATACTCTCTGAACCTCTGGGGCACTCTCTGAAGGAAGAGTATACTGTCATACATTCAGTAAGTATTAAAAAATTAAGCAAAGTAATTTCATAATTTGACAATTAAAAAGTAAATAAATAATATTAAACAAAATAAATCACTTACATTTACATATAAAAATTAGAAGTACACTGTCCTCTAACACCGAGTTTTATTGATATGATCTGGTTTGATATTATAAACTAATGTCCTAAATAGCTCTAGTAGCATTTAAAAGGTAACAATGTGTTAGCTTTGCTGTCATGAAAAAGTGACACACGCTTGAAAAATATCATAGCATATAAATTCAGGAGAACACATATTAAACTTTGTGTTAAAAGCAAATAATTTTTTTCAGCTGAAAGCTGGACTGCATGGTAATGCAAGATACTTTCTTTTCTATTTCAATTTCATAAAAAAAAATCTTTTGGGGAGTAATATACATGTTATTTATTCCATCATAATGAAGAAAAAAAACTAGGTAAGATTAATTTTTATTCTGTAAAACTTATTTTTCTTTGTTACAGAATATGCTTATAATGATTTACTATTCAGTTACCAGAAATTTAAGAAGTTTCTGATGAAGTGTTTGTTCGGACAGACACTATTTATTGGCAAACCAAGCAACCACAGATGAGTAAAAATAGAAACTGATGAAAAAACTATACCAAGAATCTGATTGTCTAAACAAAAATTCCACAAGCAGGAAAGTTTTATAAATGTATGATGCCAAACTGTGAGAAAGTGTTTCTTCTGTAGCCACTAGGAAAAAGGAAATGCCTACTGAAGGCTAAGAAGTGGTTGGTATTTATTTACATGGCCTCCTACCCACATGCTGAGACAGAGCAATTTCCAAGAAAGGGCAATCATAGGGTCCCTATGCTTGAAGCTAACAGACAGCATGTCACATATGAGAGATCAGACTTAAATACTGCTTAATTCAAGGAGAAAGATATTCCTGCGACATTGAAGTGTGGCAGCAAAACACATAGCAACTTGTTTTTCCCCCCCTCAGACAAAGAGGAAAAAAAAAAATATAAATGGAGCATGAGCTAATTCAACAACAGATGAGCCCAACATCATTTCGCCCTTAGGTCAATTAATATTATGTTATGTCAGGGCAAAAAAAAGCTCCAGCCAGGATTATCTGTGCATGTTTCCCACCCTGAGAGGCTGACAGCATAAGAAACAGGGAATGTATGAACCCTGGGAGGAATGGGGCTAGGCACACTTCTACAAGTGACAACATGCACATAACTGTGGGTCCAGTTTGTCCCCCTTCAGCACTTGTTCTTTTTTATTTATAGATTTTTATTTTTATAATGGGGCAGAGAACTTAAGTGTGACATGAGGGGAAAAACCAGCACATGCTGATCTCATGTAGAGACTTTGCCTCTCTTTTTCCTATACAGAGTAGAAGGAAAAAGTGGGAGGTAGCATGGCCCATTCCTCTCCCTGTGACATGGAAAAAAAAAAAAAATCCCCATAATGCACCTTAGAAAAACAAACCAACCTGCTAGCCTGGGGAGGCCTTCCCACCCTTGAGACAATGTTTCACCACTCGTGGGCATGCTTAGCACTCACATCCTTAATGGACTAGTTCTGTTCTCTGACAGGCAAGTAAGCTGCCAGGAACTGACAGCATGATGTAAATGTGCCATACTACAACTGCCCCTTCCTTCTGCAGTGTTTAAATGTACTAAAAATAAATACTGCTGAAGTCCAAAATGGCCTAAGGGATGCAAAAAAATACAACAGCAGCTCCCTTCCCTCCAGCAAGGTCTCAGCCAGCCTTTCCAAGCTAATGAACTTCATTTCATTTTCAGCCAGGGGCAGAAATAATTCCTTGCTTTTGGAACTTTGTAGGCTCCATCAGAAGAAACAACCTTGGACACAATGTCAGCTAACTGGATTATAAGGGGAACAAAATTCCTTTACTTCAAAGAAAAGAGACTGTTAAATTATTTTAGCTTTTTCCATCTATCAAAGGTGGATTTGTTACATTTTTATTTGTTACTTCAGGATAGCTACTGCACAACAGCAGCATGCAGGACGAACTCTATTCCTCACTCAACCTGAGCAACAGAAGCAAAATTCATGCAGGACAAGCCAAATATATGATGCTCAGATTATGAAAGCCAGGTCTGAGCCTGAGTGCCAGCCTAGTCACACTTTCAGTTACATCATGGGGAACTGACCCGGTTTGCTCACCACTTTGTAATGCTTTTTAGAACACCAATTTCCAACCAGGGAGTCATGGCACCAACCAAAACCTGTCCATGCTGATTGTGGGGACCACAAGCTCAAAGAAATCCAGCTCCCAACTGGAAGTGCAGGACACGCTGGAAAAGTTGAAACAGCCTGGTTTTACAGCAGGATTCATCCAGGTGTATCACTTTGTACTGAAAGTACAACTCTCATGAGTAATTACTGTGCACTGATAGCAAATCCATTACATGCTTCTGCCATTAGTTTTATGCATTAATAAGGCAAAATAGTGAACTACTGTAAAATGATAAACTGAGGAAGAACAGTTTTGAATTAAAGCTTGAGAACAGCAGATTAAAACGTTGGCATTTCTGCCTCTCAACTAGATTTCCAGACTGACACTTGTACTACTCTCTGCATTTGTTTCCACATTAGTAACTCAGGCCTAATACTTCCCCTGCTCACAAGCATCAAGCTAGACCTTGTTTCTGCAAGCAGCTAGTGATGGCAGGGCATCATTAAGGTATCCTGAAATCAGGGTGCTAAAATGTGTAGGTGGAACACCAAAGCTGAGCAACTATTTGGCAAAGCAGTTAAGCAGCAGAGGCGGAAAATACCAAAATGAAGTTGTTCTACGGTACTGCACTACCATAGACAGCTGGATCACTACCTTCATTTTACAGACAGGAACAGACACTAGAAGCAGTGGCTTGTGAACCTGCTGAGCCAGAACAATCTATATTGAAGAAAGAAGAAAAAAAATAGTAAGTGTCAGGAAATGCTGGTGGTGGGCTAAAACTCTGCCTGTTTACTCCTGAAAAGGAAAGGCTCAGACTTGTTTACACCTAGGAACTGCTCTCACT